ACTCATTAATCAATCGAAATTGTTATTATTAAATTGGACATGAATCTTTTTCGTGATCTTCGTTAGATCGTTTTGTGAACTAACAATGTAATTGTTCCGGATCCATTGGGATCATCGCGTAAAAAATATTGACTTTTTTTATGCAAGAACATATTTACCGAGAGGTTAGAAACTTTTTCGGTTACAACGTTTTTTCATTCGGTTAATCCGTAGATTTTTTAAGCCATGTCTATATTAAATCTTGTAATTTACATTTTCTACCAAAGTCTTAGAATAAGATTTCGCATAATAAAGCCCGCTAAAAAACATAAAAAACTTAAAAGCATCTATTTGTATATTTCATAAAGGACAATAATATTTCTATTTGACATTTTCATTCAACGTATATATTTTATTATTCCGGTCTAAGTGTCCTTCAACTCTTCAACTTAGTTGTTGTTTGATTAAATTCCCCGTTTTCACATATTATTTATTGTCGTTGAAACATAGAGACATAATATGAACGAGACAAGAATATGAGTTATGGGAATTCAAAAACACACTGTTAATATTTCACTTAAATGGTGCAGTAGTCTGCATAGGTGACATATGTACCTATATTTTTTCCAATTATAACTGTAAATAAAACGAAGCTAATCGAAATCATAAGTTATGAATATCAAATTTCCATATCAAATATATTATCATTCATTACTAATATTTTTGTCAAAAAAAAAGCAAATCTCTCATTTTACTTTCACACCAAATCGGTAATTGCATTCTTTTTATCACGATTATCACGAGAAGTAGCCGTCGAAAGTATCATAACAATACTTTTTACTATTCAATTTCGTTTATAGCAACGGTTAAACATGCGATTATAGATATCTCTAATTAAAAATCAAAATTAAACAGTATTTCATGTATTTTCTTGCTGTCTCGTGCGAGGACACGCCCATGTTCACCTAAAAATATGCAAGATTGCTATCCATCCAAGCGATAAAGCATCTTATGATTTTGGGAAGTTTCTGAATTCTTGCATAATAAATCGTCACTATGATCAGTGTCATATAAGTTCAAGCTCACACTGCAGACAGTAGTATATCATTTAAGCAAATCAGTTCCGAAAACAGACATAAAGCACGACAATATTTGTTTACCGGGAACTGGTTTTCAATTTAAATTTATTAATGGTCATTATTATTTTTCGAATTTTATTCATTTTAAATTTAGTATGCATGATTAGCGAAATCATCTAAGATAAAATGATATTCGGACACGACGTAGCTTGAAAAATGACTTTCTTATAATTCGATGCTGTTCTTGAAAAGTTTTATATATTAATATGAAAACAATTTTTATTTTAATTTTTGAATCAAAAAACTAAACGAGGATTTGGAAGAAGGTAATATTATTATTTTAAGTGGTCAGTAGTCGGAGCCATGGAGTGCGTGAAAGACGATACGTATGTGTAAGAGAAGTGTGAGCGAAGAAGTGGTATAGGACAGAAGAAGCATGGAAGGAGAAAACGTGTTGCGCCGACCCCAGATGACTGGGAGAAAGGCAGGAGAATTATGAATAGTCGGAGCCATGTTTGAATCAACTTTGGGACCGTGAACACGTAAAGCAACGTCGGAAAACGTAGAACGAATAAACAGGCGAACGATTTTGTCTCGAACCTTCAAAAAAATGGAGAAACCTGGTGGTGTCAACAACTGCCGAGTCACAAGCCTACCGCTTTTTTTAGAACATTTCTTTTAGTAGTTGCTCAAGATAGAGGCAAACTTTAAAATGTGTTCAAATCCGAACCAACTTCTTTCTTTTTTTTATGATTGAAAGATTACTGGTGGCCCGGAGGCTTTTCCAGTTTCACCAAGACAGGTGGGCGAGCAAAGGCCCAGCCAGGAGGGGTTTGATTTGCTAACAACTGCCCGAGCGCCTCCGAAGGAGACCTAACAACTCAAGAGCAATTGCTTCGCGAATGAATCTACTACCGGATTGGAATCGCGGCCCGCTGAGAAGATCCAGAGAGAAACTCAGCGGGCTGATTGATGCATGGGTTTTTTTTTATTGCTTAGATGTTTGGACGAGCTCACAGCCCACCTGGTGTTAAGTGGTTACTGGAGCCCATAGACATCTACAACGTAAATGCGCCACACACCTTGAGATATAACTTCTAAGGTCTCAGTATAGTTACAACGGCTGCCCCACCCTTCAAACCGAAACGCATTACTGCTTCACGGCAGAAATAGACAGGGCGGTGGTACCTACCCGTTCGGACTCACAAGAGGTCCTACCACCAGTAAAGCACGTCGACCTCTTTGTCGAGTTCGACGAGTACGGTTACCGGGGTCCCTAAACCTGCTCCTAGTGTTAGAGCTGAAGGCGTCTAATGCAAAGGTTATTGGATCTGATGGATCCGTAAGGACATGTGCCAACTTCTACTTTTGCTGCCAAGCAATTCTCGGGTTTTATTTGCAAGAGTAATATACCCATTATATCAGAACAATTGAGACTCGATTTGTTTGGCGATATTCATGTTTTTGTTATTAGATTAAATAAATTTATCACTTTAAAATTCAGTAAACAAAGCAATTTGTGAACTACGTCTTTGTGGAACCTTTGATTTTTTTTTTCTTTCTTTTTCATTTACAAATTACACATCTGTCCGTTTACAACGTGACCGACCGGTTTTTACGTTTTTAGTTTTTCAAACTATATAATTATTCGGACGTCAAAGAGCATTTTGCAGTGGATTTTTATTGTTGTTTCAAACGATTGTGCATATACCACTCGTATCGTATTACGCCTTTGTGTGTTTTTTATTTATATTAAAAGTGTTATGATATTTTATTCTAAAAGCAATGCTGCATAGCTTCAAGGCAGAGATAATGGTTATGATAAGATATTTAGCATACGTTTTTAATGCAAAGAAAATTGTTGTGTCTGTTTTTGCGCGTTTTAATGGCTCTTTCTGGCCGGACCTTCTCAGTGGGTCACGTTTCCGATCCGGCGGTAGACTCTGCGAAACACTGTTCTTGCTAGGGTTAGTGTTAGCAACAACATCAGGTTTGAGCCCCGTGAGCTCACCTACTAGTTATGGCTACGCTGAAATGGTGTCTCAAGATCAACAGCTTAGGTAAGAAGAAAAAAAAGAGCCTACACAATAAAATTACTTCCATATTTTTTTTTAATTTATAACCACCTTGGTATCCTTCCGCACGCTTCAATGATTAACGAATGCATCTTCGAATAAAATTTTATTTTTACATAAATTTATAAATCACAAAATTCAACTAGTCATAAATAATTTATTATGTCTTGTGCGACCTTTGCGGCTTTTCGTATGATATAAAAAGTATTTTTAGTCAGCATCTGAGGCCGTTGTGTTATATGATAGTTTCCTTAAGCTTACTATATAATTTTTGATGCGTCTAACTTATAAATAAATAGCTGCGTAGCTGTTTCACGTAGGGAATAATTACTGATATTAACATAACCTGTATTCTCAATCATCATATTTAATTGCAAATCAGTTTTTAAAATTGTTTTCTTTGCATATAATATAAATAAAAAATAGAATAGTAGGTTATATGTTATACAATTAATATTTTGCAAATAGCTATGAGTACTGAGTACGCACAATGGTAAATTTATTGAAAATAAATGTTATATTCACTCAGTAATAAATACTCAAAGAAGTGTTTGATAAATTGACTGACTCGATGTTCTCACAGATCCTGTACGTTATTTTGGTTTACACCAAAAGATTCAGGTCCAATCTTGTCGAATGACATCTCTAAATCGTGACTTGACCTTTAAAAAAACTTGTTTGTGCAAAAAAAAAAATTACACAGAAATCGGAATTGCTTGATTTTCAAATCCGAAAAGTCACTGATATATTTTGTTATTTATTGCCTTTCTTAATTATTAAGCTATATTATTTTCGTATATAATACTGCTATATAATAAAACTGAAATTTCGACCTCATACCTCAAGGCGTTGTTCATGTTGTGAACTCGACTTTTACGATAACTGTATAAATACAATTCTTAGGAAAGCTAGCAATTATATTTCCTATTTTTCAATTTCCCGCAAATATCGATCGTATTTCCTCTATTTTTTTCAAGTTAACCACCATTTTATCTCCGTCTCATTCTCGTCAAATTCTCAGTAATTAAATATTTTAAAAGTTCTACTGATCTGATGAAGTAAGATCACTGTTATTTGGAATAAGAGATGAAAGCCGTTCTGTCTCGTTGCTTAAACTCAAAACTTAGGGTAATATTAAAATATTGATTTCGAAAAATTTAGTTTACTATGCACAGAAATAGATTTCCCATTAAATAATCTCACAGGTTGGGCTGCACGACATCGCATGAATACATTAAAGTTTAACACTGACAATATATTTATTCACAATATCGATGGTAACTTCTAAATGATGTGGTCACCGGCTTCGGTTCATTCTCGTGGTCATCGATATTAATATGTGTGAGTATTTGAGCCTCTATTAAAATGCGTATTTTTTTGTATTAGTGAATAAATTTTAGAGTATTTCAAATACCATATTCTGTTTCGTAATGAATAACAAACATTGATTTTACTGTACAAACTAAGCTCTTTTATGTAGTACACATATAAGAGACTTCGATTTTATTTAATAAATTAATATAAAGGTTCCGTGATTTAATGTTAATAGTTAATGCAAAAATGTAGAAGTCATATATGTTTAAATATGTTAGTAAATATACAAAGGTATAATATTATGATGATAAGCATAGATAATTTTATGTATTGATAGCTGTAGTACTAATAGTGATTGAATTTCAACGAGGTCGGAAAATCCAAATACCAATAAGATTTTGTACTACATATATTCATTAGAAAAAGAAAGGTTTCGCTTATTCCGTGTTAGGTGCTTTTAATATGTTATGTTGCGATACTACCATTGCAGATGATCAGGAACTAATAGCATTAGTAAGTCATGAATAATTTACGTAATTTCTATACAATATACCTCGAGTTGTTTACGTTGTGATGGCCAGTTAACACTAAGTGAGTCGTGAGCTCGTACACCGGTCTAAGCTATAAAAAAAGGTTTGAGTCTTTTTTAATAGTCAAAATAAGTAATATAAATAATATTTAGTATCCATATCAAAAACTTTTTTGTAATATCGATCTTATCTTATGTGTCCGATCTCTTCTCTCTTCTTTGTCGTTTCCTCATTACTGTGAGGGTCGTGACCACCTTGGTCCAGTTTTTGCACCAGCTTCCTCCAATGTTGCCTGCATTCGACCTGCTTAATGGCGCCCGGGACGCTGGTGTTTGTGGCCTCCTTGATAATGTCCGTCCACCTGGTTGGCAATCTTCCTCGACTTCTCTTTCCTTCCACGTGACCTACAACTATTAATTTTTCCAAGTTCTCAGGATATTTTTCTGTAAGCTCGTGGTTTGATTATTGTATATTTCGATATGTGGCTCGCACATCACATCGGTTTGTTTTTTTAAATGATTTACACATCGTTGTGTAAGCATTCGTTGCGAACGGCGATGACACAGTTACCTACACAGTGTCTCACTGAACCAACAATGGGACGTATTTGACTATGTTATTGTTACATGCCTAAAATCGATTCAGTGCGTTCAAGAATTTGATTTTGTTACAATAATTATGAGGGAATAAATTATTTATTTATTTATTTATTTATTTATTTATTTATTTATAACTTCTTATACTAGAAAGTATAAAGGCGGAAATTATTTAAGTATAAATTATTGTTTATTTTAAATTTGTTTATTGCATAAATTTATCCAATTATAAGTCACGAGTTTTATCTCATTCCGAAGCGACACTGTTATATCTTTGAGACGTGATTTACGAAGCCCCAAATAATGTAAGACTGGTATAACATAATCCCTCCCCTTAAATTGACTTAGGTATGTATTTTGCAAAGAAAAACACACACACACCCTTAAAGCCATTACCCATTAAATATGTCATTTCAGATTTATAATTGTTTTTTAGTTTTTCATTTAGATATTAGTAAATACATACATTAACACGCTCTTAGGCTCTGGATTGTGAACAGTGTGTACTTCTCATACGAGATGTCAGTTTCTTGACTATGCTATATTATTATGTTATCAATTATAAAGCTTCTTTCAGACTACGCTATACTATAGTGCCATATAGTATAGCAGCGTATATTTAGTCAATAATAAATAGTAGAATATAGTGTGAACGTGTCCATAACAATGTATGGGGCACGATATTATTGTGCTATGAGCTATATACTATATGCTATTATATTATAGCGTAGTCTGAAAGCATCTTAATAATATGAGTTGTCGTGAAATTTATTTCAAACTAGCGACCCGCCCTCGCTTCGCTTCGGAAACATTAAATTTTATTATTGATAGCTGAGTCCCGTGATGTTACCCGCGGTTATTGTCGTACCGCGGGTGACGCCGTGGAGCGAAGCTAGTCTAAAAAAAGTAGCCTAAGTTACTCTCCTTATATCATCAGCTACCTATCTGTGAAAGTTTCGTCAAAATCGGTCCAGCCGTTCCAGAAATTACCCGGAATAAACAGACAGAGAGACAAACAAAAATTTAAAAAAATGTTATTTTGGTGTATGTACCGTATCTAACTATATATTCATATGCATGTAGTAAAAAGCGGTTATTTCAATATTACAAACAGAAACTCTAATTTTATTTATATGTATAGATTGTTAAAAGATTGTGTACGATTAGATGGCAGGAATGCGATGTTTGCGTTTTGCTAAGGTTTTATACCGCAAAGCGTTCCGGACTGGAAAATAAAATAGCCAGTGTACCTAATAATAATAAAAAACAAGATAAGATGTATTGGGATGGGCCGCACTCACGTAGTCGGATCTCGGAATCCGCGATCGGTCGAATAACGAAGGGAACGTAGTCAACAAAACCTAATAAAATATAATCCTTTTTTTCAAAGCTTAAATGGGTGGACGAGCTCACAGCCCACCTGGTGTTAAGTGGTTACTTGGTCACTGGAGCCCATAGACATCTACGACGTAAATGCACCACCCACCCTGAGATATAAGTTCTAAGGTCTCAAGTATAGTTACCACGGCTTCCTCACCCTTCAAGCCAAAACGCATTACTGCTTCACGGCAGAAATAAGCAGGGTGGTGGTACCAACCCGTGCGGACTCACAAGAGGTTCTACCACCAGTCTAAAAACTATTTTTAGCTAGCGCATTAAAAGGCAAAGCAATAAGTGATATTACAAATTAATGTTGATAATATGAACCAAAAATAACTGGGCACGCGATAATATATTGTACAAATACGCGCATATGGAATTCGAGTGATCACTGTTTTGTCATTAATTATCACATGTGCCTGTTCGCATTATGGGCAGAAAAATTATTGCATTATTAAACTGTGTGACCTTGTTTAGTATTATTTTGTTGGCAACACGTCACAGCATCGTTATGGAGTCTCGTCGAAATGGCTGAGGCAATGGATGTTTTCTGTTGACAATACAAATGTTCACGGCTATGTGTATGCAGTAAAATGCTAAGACGTTAGTCTTATTGATTATCTATACTAATATTATAAAGAGGAAAGATTTGTTTGTTTGTTTGTATTGAATAGGCTCCGAAACTACTGAACTGATTTGAAAAATTATTTCACTGTTGGAAAGCTACGCTATCCCCGGGTGACATAGGCTATATTTAATACATTTTCAAAAAAATTAGGGTTCCTTACTGAAACTTCAATAATGTAACCCAACTGGTGGTAGGACCTCTTGGGAGTCCGCACGGGTAGGTACCACCACCCCGCCTATTTCCACCGTGAAGCAGTAATGCGTTTCGATACGAAGGGTGGGGTAGCCGTTGTAACTATACTGAGATCTTAGAACTTATATCTCGAGGTGGGTGGCGCATTTACGTTGTAGATGTCTATGGGCTCCAGTAACCACCTAACACCAGGTGGGCTGTGAGCTCGTCCATCCATCTAAGCTATAAAAAAAAAAAACGTGTAAAAAAATTACATTTTTTTTACATCGCGTGCGCTACTACCCAAGCGAAGCCGGGGCGGCCCCTAGTTATCAATATTATTACTATCATTATTTTTTAAATTTTTACTTTCTCAGCTTGCGCTGCTAGTATTATAGTGGCATTTACGGACTCGGTCAAGTAAATGCCACGGTTTCTTGGGCTTGTCTAATTAGGTGTGTTCTACTATTGCATTATGTGGTTGATAATCTATTTGCAGAAACTTTCTTACGATTCTGCACGTGTTTAATATAGCAGCTTTTTAAAAGTATGTAAGTCTTCGGTTTCAGGTCAACGAGTTTCAAACCATTTTATTATTATTATTATCTTATTGATCGACGATGACATTGGAAAACAAATTTCGTCGAGTCAGTGTTTTTATAAAGGGGATTGCCCACTCTCCATAGTGTGCTAGGCCCAAGATGGACATCAAATATTACTATAAAAATGTACTGATTCAAATTCTTAAATGTATTGGATATCTAAAAAATATATTGAAATTGACGCCACTATTATAAAAAATATAATAAAAATAAAAACTCGTTTTGAGGTTAATTTTCTATATAAATAAGTGTCGGNGAAATCATATAGTTAATCATAATTTATATAAATCAGATATTAAACTTATAATAATCATAATAATCATTTATTTATTCAAGAAAGAAAATAAATATGAAATGAATAAATTGCTTTATACAACTAAAAGTAAATGCTAAAATGCCGCCCCAGGGTAAGTGCCGCCCGGTGCGGACCGCACCCACCGCCCCCCCTTAGGTACGCCACTGGACTAGAGGCTCTCACAGATCCTGTACATTATTTTGGTTTACATCAAAAGATTCAGGTCCAATCTTGTCGAATGACATTTCTAAATCGCGACTTGACCTTTAAGAAAACTTGTTTGTGCAAAAAAAATTACACAGAAATCGGAATTGCTTGATTTTCAAATCCGAAAAGTCACTGATATATTTTGTTGTTTATGGTCTTTCTTAATTATTAAGCTACATTATTTTCGTATATAATACTGCTATATAATAAAACTGAAATTTCGACCTCATACCTCAAGGCGTTGTTCATGTTGTGAACTCGACTTTTACGATAACTGTATAAATACAATTCTTAGGAAAGCTATCAATTATATTTCCTATTTTTCAATTTCCCGCAAATATCGATCGTATTTCCTCTATTTTTTTCATGTTGACCACAATTTTATCTGCGTCTCATCTAAATTCTCAGTAATTAAATATTTTAAAAGTTCTACTGATCTGATGAAGTAAGATCACTGTTATTTGGAATAAGAGATGAAAGCCGTTCTGTCTCGTTGCTTAAACTCAAAACTTAGTGAAATAATAAAATATTAATTTCGAAAAATTTAGTGTACTATGCACAGAAATAGATTTCCCATTAAATAATCTCACAGGTTGGGCTGCACGACATCGCATGAATACATTAAAGTTTAACACTGATAATATATTCATTCACAATATCGATGGTAACTTCTAAATGATGTGGTCACCGGCTTCGGTTCATTCTCGTGGTCATCGATATTAATATGTGTGAGTATTTGAGCCTCTATTAAAATGCGTATTTTTTTGTATTAGTGAATAAATTTTAGAGTATTTTAAATAGCATATTCCGTTTCGTAATGAATAACAAACATTGATTTTACTGTACAAACTCAGCTCAAATTTTATGTAGTACACATATAAGAGACTTCGATTTTTGTTTTAATAAATCAGCATAAAGGTTCCGTGTTAAAAGTAGATTTAATAATAATAGTTAATGCAAAAATGTAGAAGTCATATATGTTTAAATATGTTAGTAAATATACAAAGGTATAATATTATGATGAGAAGCATAGATAATTTTATGTATTGATAGCTGTAGTACTAATAGTGATTGAATTTCATCGAGGTCGGAAAATCCAAATACCAAGAAGATCTTGTACTACATATATTCATTAGAAAAAGAAAGGTTTCGCTTATTCCGTATTAGGTGCT